AAAACTTTAAATTAATTTATTTTGTTGAATTGAATCCGTTTTAATGAATCGGCGAAGGCTGGAAGGCGCTGCTGCTGCTGCTGCTGCTGCTGCTGCTGCAGCACAGCCCGCCACCCGCAGCAGCAGCAGCACGCCGCGACTCGCGCCCTTCTGCTGCTGCTCAACTCGTTTTCCTTTCAAATTCTTTTTTTTTATTTCTTTTTATTTCCGTTTTAATTCAAAGACAAATCCGAATCTCCGCTGCTGCGCCTTCTGGCGGGGGGCCCCGGGCCTCCGCTTTGCTGCAGCAGTCTCGGGTGTACGTACACCGTGCCGCCCCTGCTGCTGCTGCTGCTGCTGCTGCTGCTGCTGCGGACGCGAAACGGAGCCGCTCAAACTGCAAACTAGCAGCAGCAGAAGAGCGGGGGCCCCAAACAGGGGGCCCCTTTTTTGTTGTCTCTGCTGCTGCTGGGGGGCCCCTGTCTCCTTTTTGCTGCTGCTCATTTGGGGGCCCCAGCTGCATGTACACCCCAGCTGCATGCGCAAAAGGCCCAGAGGGCCCAACTAGGCAGTGCAGCAACACTCTCCTGCAGCAGCACTAGCAGCAGCAGCAGCACTAGCAGCAGCAACAGCACTAGCAGCTGCAGCAGCACTAGCAGCTGCAGCAGCACTAGCAGCAGCAGCAGCAGACGTAGCAGCACCAGCAGCAGACGTAGCAGCAGCAGCAGCAGCGCAGCTGCTTTGCATGCATGCAGCTAGCAGCAGGGGAGAGTCCCCCGTGGCCCCACAGTAACTAATCTGTAGCTGCTTTGCCTTCGATTGTCTTCTCTGTCCCTTTTCAGCAGCAGCAGCAGCAGCTGCTGCTGCTGCTGCTGCTGCAGGGAAGCTGCAGTTTAGATGTCTCTTTAGCTGTCTCCTCTTTGTCCCCTAACCCATCTGTCTGTGGGGCCCCGCTGAGCATCAATCAAATGAATTGAATAATTAATTAAACAATTAAATAAATAAAAGTTTAATTATTTATTATTTATTTATTTGTTTATTTACAAAGACACTTAGGCGCTGCTGCTGGCTGCTGCTGCTGCTGCAGCAGCATGCAGCAGCAGCAGCAGCAGAATGGGGCGTTCTGCTGCAGATGCACGAAATGGCCTTTTCTCCAACTTTGCATTTAAATGCCATTTGAGAAGTACATTTAAATGGCATTAAAAGATTAAATTAAATGGCATTTTAAAATTGGATTAAATGGCACTTTAAAATGATTTAAATGCCATTTAGAAATTAAATAAAATGGCAAAAACGAAAAGAGAATTATTAGGTTGAAGTCCAGCAGCAGCAGCAAATCCAAAAAAAGAAAACTTTTCAATAAATGCATTTCTTTGATTTCTTTTTATAAATTCAAAAGTACTTTCCACAAAATCCCAAGGCCACAAAAAGGGCCTAAAGGAAACCACCTGCTGCTGCTGCTGCTGCAGTAGCAAGCACGGCAGCAGCAGCAGCAGCAGCAGTAGCTGGTACAGCAGCTGCTGCCGCAGCGGCACTAGCTGACGGGACGGCAGCAGCATCTGCTGCTGCTGCAGTAGCAGCAACGGCAAACGCAGATGCTGCTACCGCCGCTGCTGGAGCAGCAACTGCTGTTGCTGCTGCTGCTGCAGCAACAACTGCTGCTGCTGCTGCGCAGCTTTGCTTCCTTCTCTTGCTGAGGGCTCACGGCTTTTTAATTAAATGAAAAAACTTTATTTTCCCAAAGTCAGAAAAAAGGATTCCAGACTTCCGCCGCCAAACTGCTGCTGCTGCTGCTGGAAAAACTGCTACTGCAGCTGCTACTTCTGCTGCTGCTTCTGCTGCAGCTACTTCTGCAGCTGCTGCTGCAGCTGCTTCTCCTGCATCTGCTGCGTCTGCTGCATCAGCTGCTTCACTGCAGCAGCAGCTGCTTCTGCTGCTCCTGCTGGAGCTGCTGCTTCTGCTGCAGCTGCATCAGCTGCTTCTGCTGCTGCTGCTTCTGCTGCTTCTGCTGGAGCTGCTGCTTCTGCTGCAGCTGCTGCTGCTGCAGCGGCTGCTGCTGCTTCTGCAGCAGCAGCAGCAGCAGCTGCTGCTGCTGCTAGCAAGAGCAGCTGGAATGTGTTGGAGTGTTTTTTTGTTTTTCTTCAATTGCGAATTTGCCGGCGGAAGAAATCGGGCGAGTGTTCACCAACAAAGAAGGAGAAGCCAAAATCTGGAAATAAATAAATAAATAGTAAATAAATTAACAAATAAATAATAAATAAATAATAAATAATAAATAAATAAATAATAAATAAATAATAAATAAATAAATAATAAATAATAAATAAATAATGAAGTTAAAATCCCATTTAATTAAATGTCTTTTGTTCTGCCAAAGCCCTCCACCGGAATATGAAAAAAACCCACCAACCAAATCAAATCCTCTAATTAAATAAAATAAATAAATAAATAATAAACAATTAATTAATTCAATTAAATAAATAAATTAATTAGTTAATAAATTAAATAAGTAAATGAATAAATAAAGTAAATAAATAAACAAAGAAATAAATAATTAATTGAATCAAATAACCAAATAAATAAACAATTAGTCAATTAAAATGAATAAACAAATAAACAAATAAATAAATAATAAATGATAACTAAATAATAAATAATAAATAAATAATAAATAATAAATAAATAATGAATAATAAATAAATAATAAATGATAAATAAATAATAAATAATAAATAAATAATACTTGTTCAACTAATTCCTGAAATGCCAAAAAGACATTCGCCGAAGTCTTCGCCGAAGTCTCCACGAAGAGACACCCCAAAGTTGCTGCCAGCTGCTGCCCCTCCAAAGTGCTCACTTCCCGCTCCTGCAAACCCTAAACCCTAAACCCTAAACCCTAAACCCTAAACCCTAAACCCTGAGCCCTGGGCCCGAGACGGCAGACAGAGGGGGGACGGGAAGCACTGGGAGGTACATCCGGGGTTCTGGCTGCGCAGGCGAGAGCCAGCAGCAGCAGCAGCAGCAGCAGCAGCTTTGAAACAGCAGCAGCAGCAGCAGCAGCAGCAGCAGCAGCAGCAGCAGCAGGTTGCAGCTCAGGAACTACAGCTCATGAGGCTCTGGCGATTTGGGCGCCGCAAACAAAACAGCAGCCTCTTCACAACCAAATAAATAAATAAATAAATAAATAA